GGCTCTTTTTTCTAACTAAGGACAGGGCGAGGCTGCTTTGGACACTAGTTTTGGAGAAGGGAGGCCTGGCTTCCGTTTAGGCATAGCCAGCCACCGGGAGCACTAGATAATTTATTCATTTATTCACCTCACTAGACACAGCATGAGGTGAATAAATGAATAAATTATCTAGTGCTCCGCGGGCCGGCTTGAAACGGCCACCGGGCCGTATACGGCCCGTGGGCCGTAGTTTGCCCATTGCTGGGCTAGACAGATCTGGGCATGGTGAAAGGCATTAGTGCCCCAACTTAGAGTCTGGAATTTATTGGAAGGGAAGCAATGTGAGAAAGTTGAATCTAATTTAATATTAATGAGTCTTATTACTTATAATGCATGCTAGTGAGTGAAGCATGTGAAGGGTACTTTTGCAAACTACCCCACCCTGCAGTTGCTTAAAGTACTCAAGCTTTGTATTTTCGTGACTGAATGACATGATTCCTGAAGAACCTTCCTATAAATCTGCTTCACTTTAGAAACAAATCCAGCAAAATTGGTTTCCATGCCAGTGTATAAAATACAACTTGTCCTCATTTAGAATCATAATTGGTCGTTAAATTAGAACTGTGCTTGTGATCTTACTTCAGCTTTCCTTTGCTTCACAGATCTACGAAGGCTTTAAATCTGAGGAATGATCATAAAGTTACTTTTTCATCACAATTGTAATGTGATTGGCACAGCAACCAAACAGGACAGGTACAGACTTCAGCGGATAGTTAGGACTGCAGAAAAAACAATCACAATCATCCTTCCTTCCATCGAGGATCAGTACACTGCACGAACCAGGAAGATTATGTCACATCCTGGACATAATCTGTTTCAACTCAGGATGCTGCTATAGAGCATTGCATGCCGAAACAACCAGACATATAGTTTTTTCCCCCTGTGCCTCCACACTGCTGAACATTTAATTCCCATTTCTCATCTTTTCTCATCTTCTCATCTTTCCTACTATCTTCTCCTATTGGTTTCTTATGATTTATCAATTATTGTTTGTAACTTATCAATGATTGTAACTATGATTATGACCTATGACCTATTACTTGCTGTGAGCTTATGCACTGGAGACAAATTCTTTGTGTATCCAATCACACTTGGTCAACAAAGAATTTTATTCCATTCCATTCCATTCCATTAATTGTGAATGGTCACTAACTAGACAGTCTCTAAATGAACTGCACCATTATGTGGATAGGATGCCTAGATTCTTCAAGAAGTGGGTTTGGAACAGCTGCAGTGACTTAATCTAAAAAATACAGTTGTGGCTTCCGGTTCCGGTTTTCCGACACTGGCAGACATGTGGAGAGATTCCTCTCCCCGCCATCCGGTTTTTCTCCTTCGGAAGACCCTGGGAAGGGTCAAAGGTCACCCTGGAGGGGCGACCACCATTGGGGGGGACTCTTGCTGGATCATAGGGGGGGTGGCAGCCTCTCCGTTGATCTGCAGTAACTCCCCAGGACCGAAGACGAAAAGAATGGCCATTAACATAGCCCCTCACTTGGTCAAACCAGCTGAAAGCCCAAAGCACCAACTAAGCATGAAGAAGCAACTGGAGGAGTTGGGTGAGACCCTATCTTTCCTTTTTTCCCTCCCAACTACTTTCCTGTAAAATTTTTTGAAATACCCCTTTTCCCCAGCTGAATTTCGCAGCTCTTGCTCACTTGGGAATATAAAGCCAAGAAACACACACATAAAAAAAAGGAACAACAAGATTAAATGACTACGTACCTGGACTTGTAATATCCGGATACCTGGACTCCCTAAAAGCTCTGTATCTTGACAAAAACTTACTTTTTTGTTAACCCGGGGAAAAAAATGGAATGTTCTTTGTTTCCTCTCTTGAACTGGAAAAAAGCCCTATTTTGTATGTTTCTGGGGATATCTAGTGGTGAAAATTAGCTACAAGTGGAATATTTTTTTTCTGACTGGGAGATCTCTGAGACTAAAATTTGTCCTTGACAGCAACCAAAAGATAAGAACTTGAAAATAGTGGTGGTGAAAATAGTTCTTTATAGTGGAGGTGGACAGTTATTGACTCTTATTAAAAAATGGCTTCCACTAAAAGATTCTTAACATTACAGAAATGGAGGAATACCACCCACAGCTTAATGTCAAACTTATACTTGAAAAAATTCTAGAGGCTACTGAACTAATGAAGTCTACAATGAAAGACTTACATGCCACTTTAAAGCCACAAAAGGCAGCTTTAACCCCATTAGAGGAACCCACACTTCAAAAAGCAATAGAAGAAGGAACTAATAACAAAGTGGAAGAATGTCAGGAACAATCTACTCAGACCTTTAATACTCAAAGCTTGACCTTATTTAAAGACTTGACAACTACAACAGCAACAGAAACTGATCAAAGCAATGCTAAGATGGAACTTCCAGAGGATTTACGACAATACACTGAGATTTCAGATAATCTAGATGATCCAAAAACAACTACAACATCGAACATGAATCTTCATTTACTTCAGTTGAAATTAGAAGAAGATCAATCTGAACGCATGATAAACACATTAACTCAGATATGGAGATTTAAATCATTGGGTCAACAATTTAACGACTGTGAAGGGACTGGCTTCCTTGATAGGCTGATGATTGGATGGTCTCACCTGTTTCAAATGATATATCCAGGAAGGAAGGGAGAGCCATTTGAGGCCCAAAAAGCCTTTTTATGGAAGCCGGCTTGGCATAAAAGGAAGGCCAGAGTTAGATTTTAAAAAAAATGGTTTTCTTTGTCTGATATCTAATGGAAGAGCTTTAAACTTTATCTAATGAGCTAAGGAGACTTTAAAAAATATTATTGGATTTAATAGTTAGATTTATACCTATAAGGGAAATAAATTAGTTATTTAAATAATTGTTTTGAATTATAAATAGAAGATGGATTCAGAGGATAAAGGTTATTTTATGAGTAAGCGATGATATTAAAATGAGAATTAGAATATGATGGTGAAATAAATTAAGAATTTATTGGAATAAACAATAAGTGTATCTTAGAGATGATACTATTTTGTATGAATTAAGGGAACCGTGGGCTATCCGAAATCTAAACATTATTGGACAGTAATCCAACTGGAATACTCTAATTGAAACCAGACAAAAGTTAAAAACAGAATTTGGAGATATATAATCTAAAAGCTGTTTATAAATATTTTAAATGATTGAGTTATAACTAGCAACCTACCAATTTGAATTTGTTATAACGATTAAGGGAAACAGGGGAACTTTTTGATGATGTAAACTTATATATGTATGGATAAGCGTGTTATTGGACTATGCATTACCCAACCACCATGTTGCTTCCTTAAATACCTGAAGGTTTGTAAAAATAGAAAATTAATAAAACTTGCTATATAATAAAAAATACAGTTGTCTCTGAAGGGGCTCTTCTGTTTTGGAGTTGGCTTTTACAGCAATCAAAGGGAGACAGCAAGTTTTTAAACATAGTTCCAGATTGAATAAAAGCTAATCAAGCTTATAGGAGAATACTCTGCAGTTAGCTGTGTTGTACTGTACATTATATTGCTGCTAAATACTAAGCCAGACTAACGTTACTTTAAATCCAGTCAGATACTAATTTTAAAATGCAAAATATAAATCTGGTTCTTGTTGGAAGTCAATAAATAAATTATTTTACGGCAAAAAAAATTCAATTGATATGAGCATTACATGTTCTTATCACTAATAAATCTGAGATCTAGCAGCTATATAAAATATCTGGACTTTTAAAAGTTTCCCAGTGGACAGACCTCAGGTCTCATTTGGCCACATCCAAGACTGACCTCACTGAATTATCTTTATTTCTAATTTTCTTAGCATGGCAGAAAAAAGACTTTTACTTTAATACTGGGGTCCATAACCTCTGATTTTTTTTTCTCAGTTTCTAGTTTGTGTTCCACTACTATCATTCAACAAGTTTATTGCATTAATTGTTTATGAACACTTACAAGTATTTGAAGGCCACAGTGGGGAATATTTTATTTCAAAACATTGACATAAATAGTTAATTTATTCTTCAATTTTTATGGGAAACATGTGGACATAAGAACTGCTGTGTTCACTAAGATTGGGACTGTGGCTATCATTACTGTTGAAAGAAAAAGTCTTCATCAGGGTCCAGTCCAAGCCAGGAATAAACAAAATGGAGACTGCTTTAGAAAGAAGGTTGTAGTTTATTGAAGAGCAGAACCAAAAGACATGTGGTTCTGGAGCAGCTGACCACATGTTGCTGGAAGTGGTGGGTTTTTATACCTTCTTGGACTTTTGTGTTTGGAGTTGTTTTTGTGGCATGAACTTTGACCTGAGGTTCAGTGTGCCCTTTTAGTATTCTGATGGTGGTGGGTTAATCCTATTATGTCCTAAAGGTCATGTCTTGCTTCCCTGGGGTTGTGGCTGATGAGTATATCATGTGTTGGATTTTTTGGGTGAGGGGTTGTTGGTTCTAGGGATCTTTGTCTTTCTCCAGCTTGACCGATTGAGAATCCACCATAGATGGGTTGTCCTTTGTCTTCCTGCCTAGAGACTAAGTCAATCAACTTTTGTCACGCATCTTCCCCTGGCCCACTCAATGTAAGAAACAGTGTACTCAAGGTTCCAATGTGACTGTAGAACCAATTAATGGTGCTGCCTTCATCCATGCGATGCTCCTGATGAGTAGTTCACTTAGTGACATGTGTCTCACTTAGCGACAGCAAGTAGGACCAGTAAGAGCGCGTCCTGCTCTGGTCAATTCAACTGTGGTGGCAAGACCAACTGAATGGTAACAGCCAGTTCACAAATAGTTCACTTAGTGACGTGTGTCTCACTTAGTGATGGCGAGACCAACTCAGTGGTAACCACCAAACTTACATGTGTTTCGCTTAGTGACGGCAAAACCAACTCAATGGTAAGATCCAATGCACATGTAGTTCACTTAGTGATGGTAAGACCAACTCAATGGTAACAGTCAGGTTGCATGTGCTTCACTTAGTGGCGGATAACAGTCAGCACACTTCACATTCAGAGTGGTCGTGAGACCCTGCTTCCAAGAAGGCAGCTTTGCCTCTGGTGCCTCTGCTTGCAGGCCTGAACGCCCAGAGGCTGAATAGAAATTAGCATATAGATTGAACTAAAGTGGCAGCTATGTTGAATCCGTACTAGATGCAATAATTAGTCCCCTTTTAGATATAAATAGGCAATGATATTGGGCGACCGCTGCCGGCGAAAACAAAAGAAAGCATCTCCAAGAAAAAACAACACAGTCGCTGCCTTCCCTGCAGCGTGACCTCGTGGCGCCCAAATGGTGACCGCTGCCGGTGAAAACGAAAGAAGGCATCTCCAAGAAAAACAACACAATCGCTGCCTCCCCTGCAGCGTGATGGCGTGGCACCCAAAATGGCGGCCGCTGCCGGGGAAAACAAAAGAAGTGACTCTAGCCGACGGCCGGGGGCAGCCAACAATGAACAATCCGAAATCGCTTGAGAACCTGCAAAGACAGGCCTCCACATGCTCCCAAACAATGCGACAAAAGAAAACGAACAAGGGAAATGATCGCGCCTCCACGAGGCATCCGCCGGTGCCTGCTAAACAGGCTGCCTACCAGGGTGAGTTGGAGGCTCCTATATGGAGCCTCAATCCCTGAAACAGAGTGATTTAACGCTGCGCTATTAAGGCACAGAGACTGGACAAAAATCCACCATTGATGGAAATAAGTAAAAGGGAATACTACCTGATCTCTCTCTGTCTAAAGATTGAGCCAATCTTACCACGTCTCGTTATGGCGAAGACTAAGTCGAAAATGGGCTCCTGGGCCAGGGGAAGAGGCATGGCAAAAGTTGATTGACTTAGTCTCTAGGCAGGAATCCATCTATGGTGGATTCTCCATCGTCATGCTGAGAAAAGGTGTTCAGGTAAGACAACGCCCCTTCTAATCCCATCAGCTCTAAGCTTCCTGGCTCCAATCTTTCTGAAAGGATTATCAAATCTCCATTTCTACAGAGCTGGCCTCTGCTTGAGGCAGAGGGACTTGGGATGGTGGTGGTTTCTGACTTTTAAGATTTTCTCCATTATTCCTTTGGGAAAATATAATATTCTTCCTTTTTAATATTCCCCAAAATATTTCTTTCTTTGGGGGTTCTTTCTCTGGGGGAGGGGTGCTATCTTCCTACTTTACCATTATTTTTCATTCTATTAATACTATTGCTTGTTTCATTGGTTTTATTTTTCTCCTCCTCCTTCTGAAACATGGCTACCATTCCAACTGTAATTGTATTGCATTCCTCTGCAGATCAGTTCAGTTTGGTAATATATAAATATACAAAGATACATTACTTTAAAATACAATTTAAAATTAAACATTTCAATATTGAAAATGAAGACATTCATATTATTTCTTAGATGCATGCAAGGCACTATCCAAATTGAACCCCCACATGCTTTCTAGAACATTTTGTTTTAATCAAATTTGCTGTATAGAACTAGACCAACAATCGACATTGCATTTTATTTCTGTATTGAGTACATGTCATTGTGCCCCACATCAAGGCTTAGAGAGGGTGGTTCTTGGGCACATTTTCCCAAGATAAATGCCATGTTCTCAGTAAGTGTATGTCCAACACTTAGTGCAGTGGTGGCGAACCTATGGCACGGGTGCCAGAGGTGGCACTCAGAGCCCTCTCTGTGGGCACACGCGCCGTCGCCCCAGTCCTAGGCCTTCAGCTGGGTTTTATAAAACCTTTTCGCGTTAGGCCTCCACTGCCGTATTAAAAAAAAAGGTTCAATCAATCAGTCAATTTCAACTTTTCGTGGAAAAAAAAGATCTTGCAAAGTTGGAATTGATTGATTGAACTTTTTAGTCCCACCCAGTGTGCCGTTACCACTGCAGCCATGCCCACCCAATGGGCCACACCCAGCCAATGGGCCACACCCACCCGGCACCCGACGATGCATGAGTGGGTTTTGGGTTGCAGTTTGGGCACTCAGTCTTTAAAAGGTTCGCCATCACTGCATTAGTGCATAGATGTTCTGAGCATTTTAGGGTGGTCTTGGTGAAAGCTCTTCCAGAAATTTGAAAATCTACCTTTGGGCACAACCATTACTGTTAAGATTATTCTCTAGTATTTCTGGGATTTTCTTTTTTTACTAAAAGCTATTTCTAACTCTGATATCACTGAAAAAAGTAAATTGAATGTAACAGTTTGATGTGGGAGTAATAAAACAATATATCCTCTTTAAGCTGCAAAAATATGAAATGTTGGACTCTGGATCAGGTTGACTAGAAAGTGGTTCCTCTGGGGTGAATTAGGGCAGAGTTCCTCCTCCTGCTGCTACAAAATCTCAGTGTGACTTTGTGATGAGCCTAGAATTAACTTCAGTTCCCTGTTGCTGCACAGCACAGCATAGCACAGCACAGCAACTCTTCACTGAATTTTTAAAAAGCAAAACAGCAGCATTTTTGAAGTATGCATTCTGTACAGTAAATTCTTTACAATATATTTGAAATTAACCTTTTTTTTCTTTAAAAAGAATGCTGACCCTTGAATAGCCAAGTTAAAAAATAGTTCCTTACTTCCTAGATAGCCATT